TGAAAATGCCTTCAAACTCTCTAAGATAAGCCACTCACTCACAGGCAGATGGCATTTAACCTAACATGCAAATAGCCCTTCAACCTCTTTTTTATTAAGGCAATATTTGAAATTGTAACATGGCTAAAATAATGCCATCTCTCAAATATTCTCTGAAAATGCCTTCAAACTCTCTAAGATAAGCCACTCACTCACAGGCAGATGGCATTTAACCTAACATGCAAATAGCCCTTCAACCTCTTTTTTATTAAGGCAATATTTGAAATTGTAACATGGCTAAAATAATGCCATCTCTCAAATATTCTCTGAAAATGCCTTCAAACTCTCTAAGATAAGCCACTCACTCACAGGCAGATGGCATTTAACCTAACATGCAAATAGCCCTTCAACCTCTTTTTTATTAAGGCAATATTTGAAATTGTAACATGGCTAAAATAATGCCATCTCTCAAATATTCTCTGAAAATGCCTTCAAACTCTCTAAGATAAGCCACTCACTCACAGGCAGATGGCATTTAACCTAACATGCAAATAGCCCTTCAACCTCTTTTTTATTAAGGCAATATTTGAAATTGTAACATGGCTAAAATAATGCCATCTCTCAAATATTCTCTGAAAATGCCTTCAAACTCTCTAAGATAAGCCACTCACTCACAGGCAGATGGCATTTAACCTAACATGCAAATAGCCCTTCAACCTCTTTTTTATTAAGGCAATATTTGAAATTGTAACATGGCTAAAATAATGCCATCTCTCAAATATTCTCTGAAAATGCCTTCAAACTCTCTAAGATAAGCCACTCACTCACAGGCAGATGGCATTTAACCTAACATGCAAATAGCCCTTCAACCTCTTTTTTATTAAGGCAATATTTGAAATTGTAACATGGCTAAAATAATGCCATCTCTCAAATATTCTCTGAAAATGCCTTCAAACTCTCTAAGATAAGCCACTCACTCACAGGCAGATGGCATTTAACCTAACATGCAAATAGCCCTTCAACCTCTTTTTTATTAAGGCAATATTTGAAATTGTAACATGGCTAAAATAATGCCATCTCTCAAATATTCTCTGAAAATGCCTTCAAACTCTCTAAGATAAGCCACTCACTCACAGGCAGATGGCATTTAACCTAACATGCAAATAGCCCTTCAACCTCTTTTTTATTAAGGCAATATTTGAAATTGTAACATGGCTAAAATAATGCCATCTCTCAAATATTCTCTGAAAATGCCTTCAAACTCTCTAAGATAAGCCACTCACTCACAGGCAGATGGCATTTAACCTAACATGCAAATAGCCCTTCAACCTCTTTTTTATTAAGGCAATATTTGAAATTGTAACATGGCTAAAATAATGCCATCTCTCAAATATTCTCTGAAAATGCCTTCAAACTCTCTAAGATAAGCCACTCACTCACAGGCAGATGGCATTTAACCTAACATGCAAATAGCCCTTCAACCTCTTTTTTATTAAGGCAATATTTGAAATTGTAACATGGCTAAAATAATGCCATCTCTCAAATATTCTCTGAAAATGCCTTCAAACTCTCTAAGATAAGCCACTCACTCACAGGCAGATGGCATTTAACCTAACATGCAAATAGCCCTTCAACCTCTTTTTTATTAAGGCAATATTTGAAATTGTAACATGGCTAAAATAATGCCATCTCTCAAATATTCTCTGAAAATGCCTTCAAACTCTCTAAGATAAGCCACTCACTCACAGGCAGATGGCATTTAACCTAACATGCAAATAGCCCTTCAACCTCTTTTTTATTAAGGCAATATTTGAAATTGTAACATGGCTAAAATAATGCCATCTCTCAAATATTCTCTGAAAATGCCTTCAAACTCTCTAAGATAAGCCACTCACTCACAGGCAGATGGCATTTAACCTAACATGCAAATAGCCCTTCAACCTCTTTTTTATTAAGGCAATATTTGAAATTGTAACATGGCTAAAATAATGCCATCTCTCAAATATTCTCTGAAAATGCCTTCAAACTCTCTAAGATAAGCCACTCACTCACAGGCAGATGGCATTTAACCTAACATGCAAATAGCCCTTCAACCTCTTTTTTATTAAGGCAATATTTGAAATTGTAACATGGCTAAAATAATGCCATCTCTCAAATATTCTCTGAAAATGCCTTCAAACTCTCTAAGATAAGCCACTCACTCACAGGCAGATGGCATTTAACCTAACATGCAAATAGCCCTTCAACCTCTTTTTTATTAAGGCAATATTTGAAATTGTAACATGGCTAAAATAATGCCATCTCTCAAATATTCTCTGAAAATGCCTTCAAACTCTCTAAGATAAGCCACTCACTCACAGGCAGATGGCATTTAACCTAACATGCAAATAGCCCTTCAACCTCTTTTTTATTAAGGCAATATTTGAAATTGTAACATGGCTAAAATAATGCCATCTCTCAAATATTCTCTGAAAATGCCTTCAAACTCTCTAAGATAAGCCACTCACTCACAGGCAGATGGCATTTAACCTAACATGCAAATAGCCCTTCAACCTCTTTTTTATTAAGGCAATATTTGAAATTGTAACATGGCTAAAATAATGCCATCTCTCAAATATTCTCTGAAAATGCCTTCAAACTCTCTAAGATAAGCCACTCACTCACAGGCAGATGGCATTTAACCTAACATGCAAATAGCCCTTCAACCTCTTTTTTATTAAGGCAATATTTGAAATTGTAACATGGCTAAAATAATGCCATCTCTCAAATATTCTCTGAAAATGCCTTCAAACTCTCTAAGATAAGCCACTCACTCACAGGCAGATGGCATTTAACCTAACATGCAAATAGCCCTTCAACCTCTTTTTTATTAAGGCAATATTTGAAATTGTAACATGGCTAAAATAATGCCATCTCTCAAATATTCTCTGAAAATGCCTTCAAACTCTCTAAGATAAGCCACTCACTCACAGGCAGATGGCATTTAACCTAACATGCAAATAGCCCTTCAACCTCTTTTTTATTAAGGCAATATTTGAAATTGTAACATGGCTAAAATAATGCCATCTCTCAAATATTCTCTGAAAATGCCTTCAAACTCTCTAAGATAAGCCACTCACTCACAGGCAGATGGCATTTAACCTAACATGCAAATACTCCTTCAACATCCTTTTATACCTACAATAGGCATTGAAATTGATAGAACCTCAGAGATATATGCCCAGGAATCTCAGGAATTCAAAATGAATAATAAATAAATAAATGCCTAGTTTGGGATACATCGGTTTGTATTTAGAAAGTGAACAGAAAGTCTCCTGTCTTCTCTCTCCGACGCACTGGGTTCACTCTGAAGTATAATGCAGCAGGCCAGGTGGGGCCACAGATACGCTATCTCCCTAGAGTAAGTCACAAGTTTTAATCTGCATAGTCAACAGTGAGTTTTTGCTTGGAAAACAGATATAAATGGGAAAATTCCAAACTATTCCACATCAGCAAGTGCAATTTAACACTGCTGCAATCTGTCTAAAAATCTGTTAATTTAAGTGCATGGGGTAGTCTCTGCCAGTTCTCTCCCTTCGCCTTTTTTTTTTTTTTTTTTTTTTAACACCAATTAAGTCTGAAAGAACTGCATTCTGAAGTTCCCCCTGAACTTATAACTTACTGTAATTCTCTGCTTTATTTAAGCCATATCTCTTGGTTATTTAAACAATACAAATTGAAATATAACATAAATGAACTATACAACTAAATAGCCAAGAATTTAGTAAGTTAAAAAAAAATAGTGCATCGGTTACCTAAATGTTAGGATATTTCCTTTGGCTTAAGTATTGTCATGAATCAGCTAAGAATTTTTGTATATCACAAAGGATCACAGGCAGATGGCATATTACTAACATGCAAATAGCCCTTTTCAACCTCTTTTATACCTACCAGTAGGCATTGAAACTGATAACACCCTCAGAGATATATGCCCAGAATCTCACAGGAATTCAAAATGAATAATAGTAACAAATGCCCTGGTTTGGGATATGTCAGTTTATATTCAGAAAGAAAAGATAATGGTTCCATAAAATGTGGTTAGAAACTTGCTATTCACTTAGAGATCCAGTGCTCTGTCAGTAAGTGCTTAAATAAATTGCTTGTAGGAAAGGACATTTCTGTGGTGTAAATACTTCCACCATGTTGATTTCCAGCTGATTTAACTGAATGCGAAGCTCAGAAGAGAAATGCACAATCAGCTCTCCTGAGCTGATGAAACCAGCTGATACAAGCACCCCCACTAGAAATATCTCAATGTGTGACTACGGCTAACTCCAATCCTACAATGGAAATAAACTGAGTTTCTAGGTATGTTTGGTGTTTTATTCAACTCCAAGTTCTCATCTCTGAAGTTTTCTTTAACTGTGGATAATAAATTTCCCATCTGAAAAAAAATGATATAAGGACATAGGAGACAACTAACTCAACATCAAGGATTTAAATATCTTTAATCAAGGTATCTCAATTAATTTCCTTGTTCTTCTTAAACAGGAATCTTTAACGTTCAAATTTAATTCACAATTAAGTGCTATTGTGATTCCCAAAAAAACTGAAAGAGAAAAGTAAACAAACAGACACAACTATTGTTTAAGTACTCGATCATACCACAAACGTAAACCCTACAGCAACTTGTTAGTAAAGGGCAGGATGGTTATGATAAAGTCAAACATCTCCCATTGCAGAACTTGTGTGCCCCACTTTTAAGTAGATGTGTGGGTTTATGTTTGATTTGTGTTTGGGGGAGTGTTGTTTTGCAATAATAGGAATTAATAAGGAGAAAGCAAAAGCCATCTTTTTGTGGTGTTTTCCACAAAGAGAGACTTTCTTCAAAGCTTTTTAAGGAAAACTAACAGAAGGAAATGAACTTATCAAACTAGAAGTTCAACAAAAGGGGAGAACACAAGAGTAACAGCAGCTCCAGCATTTCAACGCAACTGTAGCAAAGAAATAATAAAAGGAGTAACAAAAGAGCAGACATATACCCAAGTTCTGAGTCTGACTGCAGCTGGAGCACTGAGGGGTCTGTGTCCCACTGCAGGGTCCTAATTGTGCAGCACAAAGGAAAAAGAACACAGAGAATTAACAAAAGGGGAGGGCAACAAACCAAACCAAACTATGTCATTCATCAAGGCAAGAGCATATACAATACATACACAGAACATGTCCCCCCTCCATCCCCTCCATCCCCAGTGACTATCAAACAACAAGAGAAAGCGAGGAGCCATCCTCTCCTGCAAACATCTGTTTAATATCGGGAGCTATGACTGCTTTCATGAAGGAAAGTTGACACCAAGTGTTCAAACTCCACACACACCCCCACCCTTTGTTTTGTTTCGTATTGAGGCTTCATTGATTTGAGCAAGTAACCCACTGCATGTATCTCTGACACCCCAAAGCCCATCCACATCTGGGAACTCCAAGCATCTTCTACGTGGTGAAAAGAACTAAACGCATGGGTGCAAATGGGTCAGGGCGGGGTATGACTGCAGGACTTGGTGAATAACTGGCTTCCTTGGATTAGATACTACAAATATAATGCATTAGATTTCGAGACTCAAGGGTATTTTTATGCTTGTTTATATATTGCACCCCAAGATGGTCACCAACAATACCATTCCTCTCTAAGATGTCAGGGATTGATTATATCTTATATTTTTTAAACATTGCATAAACAATAACACAAAGTATCAATAGTTACCAAAGCATCCAATTTCCCTTGCTGTTTCTCCTTGAAAATAAGAGGGGATAAATGGCTCTTCTATAAACACAGCACATGCCAGGACCTTTCTCAGCCAGGCTCTTTAAATATCCTGCACAGAACTGGTTACAGGTGAATCAGGCATGAGGTTATCTCAGAGGCAACTAATGGACAGCACAAACTTTGGGATCAGGCATCTGTGATTCAAATCTTGCCTCTGTGACTTACCAGCTGTGTGACATTGAGCATGCTGTTTACTAAGTTCTCAGCCGCTGCATCCCTTTGTTTACTCTGTGGCCTACAGAGCAGTAGCATCAGCATCTCTTTGGAGTTTGTTGGAAATGCAGAAACTCACATCCCACCCCAGACTTAGTGACTCCATATTACAGTTTAACACGTTCCCCAGGTGATCCACAGGCACCCTAAATTTGAGAAGCCCTGCTCGGTTTCCTTGTCTGTCAATACTTACTGTAGCTTATAAGATAACTTATGAACTGGCCTGCAGTGATCTTCCAAACTTCTCTCTAACCATTCATTCACTCACATTATGTCAACTCTGCATACTCCTTAATGTTCTTCCCTTAAACATCTGCATGGCTCATGACTTTGCTTCTTTCGTGTCTCGGCTCAAATGTCACCTCCTCAAAGAGGCTCCCCTGCTTCACTACCTGATCTCAAGTAGCACTTCCTTACCACTCTTCGTTTCCTTCCTTTCCCCTACTTTATTTCCTTCATAGCATTCATCTTTACCTACGATTTTCTTGTATATCACCTTATTTATTTTTGTTTGTTGTCTGACTTTGGACTTAAGCTTCATAATGGCAGGGGTGACTACATCTCTAGAATATAGGGATATGCCTAGAACTGTATCTCACATATGTGCTTATGTAATATGATATTTATTGAATGAATGAATATTTTGCTGGTTTTCTACGAGGATTAAATGCAAGTATACCTATAAAGCACATAGTAACCATATGATAAACAGCAGCTGCTTTTACTACTGCCACAACAACTCTACCTACTCTTAAGGTTTCTTTGAGTCAATGCTTGACCTATTTGACAGATCGCACATTAACCCCTGCTGCAGAAGTAGCAGAATATGGATTCACAGCTTCCCTTCTATGCTCTGGCTGTGCTCTTTTTTTTTTTTTTTTTACATAAAACCTCTGAAAGATTAAAACTGAAGTCCATTGAGACACTAATTGGCCTGTGTTTCTGAGACCAGTGCTTCTCAAATTTTAATGCACATACAGATACCCGGGAATATTGCTAAAATGCAGAGTCTGACTTAGTAGGTGTGGGGGTGGCCTGAGACTCTGCATTTCAAACAAGCACCAGGAGATACAGATGTTGCTGCTCTGTGGAACACACTTTGAGCAACAATGACTTGACTTAGATAAGTGGTTCTCAAACTTTCATGTTCATCAGAATGACCTGGAGGGCTTTAATAAGCTGATACGCAACCCTAGAAATTCTGATTCAGTAGATCTGGAGTGGGGCCCTAGAATTTGTAGTTCTAACAAGTTTCCAGGTGATGTTTACAGGGCTAACCATGGGACCACCTTTGGAGAATGACAGAGCTAGACTATTGCTTTCAGTAGTCAGCATGCAGAAAGCATCACTGATGCTCAAATACGTCAGCATCTAAACTTCTGATTTGCTCAAGCCTGGCCTCAGGCCCAGGACACCCCTAGACCAATTAAGCCAGAATGTCTGGGGTGGGACCCAGGCATCTGTAGTCTTTTAAAGCTTTCCAGGTGATTCTAACGTGCAGCTAGGGGTGAGAACCCATGCTCTGAATTCATTCTCTGCTGAAGAAAATTAGCCCTTCTTGCTTCTGGGCACTGATTCTTTAATCTCAGTTCAAATTGTGAAAGTAATGGAATATGTTAACATAATTCATACTTGCTGTTCACATATCTCTGGGGGTCAAATTTAAGAGCATTTCTTCTGCTGTAGACCAAAGAGCAGACTCTGGCTCTTGCTGATTGTAAGAAGCTTTCCTTGCAAGGAGTGGGATGAGCTATTTGACCTCCATTTTCCTTGAGGTTTCTGATGGGCTGATCTTTGGTGACATTTTCCACTTCTCCCAGCAGCTCCCCAATGGTCTGGCTCTTCTGATACTTATTGGACAGATCACCTGAACTCACTATACCCTTAAGAAGTATAAATAGTGATTCTATCAGAATCATCCACTTAAAAAGTCCACAGATTAGTACTGGGGAGTTTGCATTTACTCGGCCAGAAAAACAAAGGTAGGAATGTGACACTACAACAGCCTTGCCTCCTGGCACACCTATGTTATTCAGGAACAGAAATCATAGTTATCGTCAGTAACAAGCTGTGTGGGGTAAGGGGTGAAGCCAAGGATGCTATCAAATGTGCCAGTTGTATTATCTTTTCATTTTTCCCATTATTATCTGTGGGGTGGTTCCTCTCAAGAATATGTAAATATGCAAATTTTTTGAAAGGAACTTAAGGCCAATATGCAAAATGGGCAAAGGTTGTTTGTGTTTCCAGGAATAGCCTAGAAATATGTATTAAACATTTGTGGAATTCCTTCTGTGTAAACCATGGAGGACAGCTTCCCTGCAGATGGCAGCATTTTAGAGAAGACCACGCCTGGCCCCGGGTGGGAGGTCTGTGTCCTGGATATGGCTTCACTGTGTCATCAGGCAAATCTCCTTTTGTTCCCAGCAAATGAGGGTGCAGGCATCGAGGCCCTTTAACATTCTTCTCTGTCTGATATTTTAAAATCTAGGATGATTATTCAACTGCCTTTTAACTTTCTCTTCTCCAGTTAGAATAATTTATTTAACCAATGGGAAGAGATTTTATTTTCCAGCCATTTTTATCAAGTAATTGTATCCCTGAAAACAAAATGATGGTTATATAGAAATCACCCTGTATACTATAATAGTTCTATTTTTTATTCATTTCTGGAATGGCTGAATCAATGCATGCAGAGGAGAAAAGATTTTGATAGGAACATTCATTCGCTTATTCAAAAAACATCTATTAAGAACATAAAATACAAAATACTGTAACAGAGGGTTGAAAAAATGTTCAAGGAACTTCGAGTTATTATGAGGAGATAAAACATATATAAATAGGCCTGGCGCGGTAGCTCACGCCTGTAAGCCCAGCACTTTGGGAGGCCGAGGCAGGCAGATTGCTCAAGTCCAGGAGTTCAAGACCAGCCTGGGCGACAGGGCGAAACCCTGCATCTTCAAAAAATACAGAAATTAGCCAGGTATGGTGGTGCTCGCTTGTGTTCACGGCTACTCAGGAGGCTGAGGTGGGAGGATAGCTTGAGCCTAGGAAGCAGAGGCTGCAGTGAGCTGAGATCATGCCACTGCACTCCAGCCTGGGTGACAGAGTAAGACCCTGTCTCAAAAAAAAAAAAAAAAAAAAGCCAAAACATATATATATATAGTTTAGTAGAACAAGACTGAAGGCAAAACTTGCCATATTCTATTTGACCTGGTCTTGGAGGAGGGGGAAGCCAGATGTCCAGCAGTATCTTTGGGACTAGAGTAGGTGATGTTGAATGTTTAACTACGACAGCTTCCCCTACCCTGCAGTACCACATGTATGCTGAGGGACATGGAACTTGCACTTAAGAATTTTACATTTTGGTAAAACAAATGAGACATATGAATATTTATGCCTAATAATATACCGCTAACATCTACAAGGAAGAAAGTAGCTCTCATCACTTGCTCAGAGACTGGCACAGTTTAAAGTTTGAATAAATATGAGCTGAAAAGATTAATAAATGCCATAAGAAAGACAGATTAAGAACAGTGATCATTATAATTTCCCTTCACTTAGTGTTTGCTGCGTGCCAGCCAGCCAGGCATTTAACTGCACTTTCATCATCCTTTGGAAGTCACAGCAGGGAGACACACTTCCACTGAAAAGATTAGAGATTCCATTTGACCTGGTCTTGGAGGAGGGGGTAGAATGTGGGCTTAAATTCATTTTCCTCAGTGCTTAGTTTATTGGACTTAGGTGGCTGAGTTAGTCCACTAGGTCTTATAAGATTGCTATATTTTAGATGCCAACTTAGCAATTTGTTGTGAGAACAATAATAACCAGGCAGACAAATATATAAGCCTGACAAAGTCTTCTCTCCTTGAAGCCCAGCTTCCTGGGAAGCCAGATGTCCAGCAGTATCTTTGGGACTAGAGTAGGTGATGCTGAATGTTTAACTACCACAGCTTCCCCTGCCCTACCCCACCATGACCTCATCTCTCCCCAAGACCAGACATCATCCTCACTGCTACCCAAGTCTCCCCTTTCTGGAATTCCTGGGATGACCAACCTAGCCCTTGTTGT